CGGGCCGGATTTCTGACGCATGCGCGTCCAATGTAGCTTCAGTAACGTACCGGTCACTAGTAAATAGGAGATCATTAGTCGCCTATGTGAAATTTTTTCAAAAATATTGAAAATTTTAATATATTTTATACATTTTACATATGTATACATATATATAAATATATATAATATATTTCTCGTGGGCTGCCATCTTGTCGTGGTGAGGGAGCTTCCCCCTGGGTCTCCTTGCGGCCCTGGAGGGTCTAAGTGCAACCTGTACGGATCCCTCTCGTAACGAGGGGGGTCTGTACACCGGGTCCATCACCCCAAGAGGGTCTCTCAGCAATGAAGGCCCCTGGGGGACTCGTTCCTCGGAACGGTCCCCATTGTGCCGGTAGGTTGGCGACCCTGACTTCAATCGCCTGGTGGCACGGCGCCGACAAGGGGAGTGGTGCTCCCTGCCTGTGACTTGGGAAGGCTGTTGGGCGTGTCACTGCGGTGCAGCGCACGCCCAAGGGTATGAAGGGCAGCAGGGCCGCTCGGACATATTCCGAGGCAGGGTCTGTTGCCTTGGCTCCGTCGGGACCGCCCGGAAATATTCCGGGTTAGGGCCTGACGGAGCGGTGATGCGGGAAGGAAAATCCGTCAAAAAACCCGGAAGGAAAAACGTACACCCGGCTTGGGGCAGCTTGTAAAATAGTCCCACTTTATGACGACTAGAAATGGAGAACAATGAAATGAACCTTACGTTAGAAATCGGGTTTGGAACCGGCAGCTACCGGCGCGGGGGAGGTGGGGTCCTGGCCGACCACGTGTCGGGCCTCGTCTTAGACGGGGCCTTCTGCGACAGGCGCGTGGACGGGTGCACCGCAGACTCGTCGACGTATAGAAATGCGTCTGCGAAGACTGGTGGTGTGGTGAAGAGCCACGGTTGCCGGAGCGAGATCCCCGGTGGGAAAGGGGAGCCCGTTGGGCTACTCCTGTCAGGGAGGTATCCTTGCGGGGAGCTGGACCTCGGTATGAGACTGCCACCCCGCGTCGGGGA